AGATACAGGTAGTCCTTGACGTACGACCAGAATTGAGCCCCAAATTTCTCTGGCTAAGTGGGACATTTTGTTCAGTGAGTTTTGCCCTGTTTTGTGACATTTCTTGCCACAGTTGTTAAGTGAATCGCCGCAGCCACACGGTTGTTAAGTGAATCTGGTTTCCCCATTGACTTTGCTTGTCAGATGGTTGCAACCCGGGCACACTGCAACCGTCATCAGTCTGAGTCACTTGCCAAGCATCTGAAGTTTAATCCCGTAACTATGGGGATGCTGCAATGGTCGTAAGTGTGAAATACAGTCACTAGTCCAGGGGTAGGGAACCTTGGCTCTTTTATGACTCGTGGACTTCAACTCCCAGAATTCCTGAGCCAGCCATGCTGAGGGGAAAGGGAGAGGTTTCCAAGCTGAGCCATGCTGGCTCAGGAATTCTGGGAGTTGAAGTCCACGAGTAATAAAGCGGCCTAGGCCTAGGCCAGAGGTAGGCAACCTTGGTGCTTTTATGATTCGTGGACTTCAACTCCCAGAATTCCTGAGCCAGCCATGCTGAGGGGAAAGGGAGAGGTTTCCAAGCTGAGCCATGCTGGCTCAGGAATTCTGGGAGCTGAAGTCCACGAGTCATAAAACAGCCAAGGTTGCCTACCCCTGCACAGTCAACTGCCATTGCAATTTTGACCAATCACTAAATGAACTGTTGTAAGTCAAAGACTTCCTGCACACATAAGGAAGCATCTAGATACGTAGGAGGACCAATTGTCGTGGCCTCTCATATGATCGCCACGCAGGTCTGGAAGCGGGACGGATTCCGGTACAAGTATGTTAGATGTGCATAAGAATGTTGGTTGACATTCAGCCTGAGCCAATCCTGAACTGAAGGACTCACGACTGCAGACAGGAACCAATCTGGAAAGGAGGGAAGCCAAGATGGGCATATATAAGCACCAATGAAGCAGCTGGTTTTATGAGATGCCGGGCAGCGGCCTGGACTCTTAAAAGAGGAAATAGAACATTTTTTTTTTTTCTGAGTAAGAACCAGAAGGCAATTTCTGCACTCAAGTCCATCTTCTTCTCTCAGCCCAGCGTCTATATCTTCCACTTCTGCATCCGCCTCTCCGGTAAATTTGTCTGGTAAATTTGCTTACATGAAAATCTCTCAGGGCTTTTTTTTTTTTTTTAATTTTGCCGGTGAATTTAATTCATTGCCTCTGTGTGACGTTACTCGCTACCCGGGCGAAGTAGATTTAATTCGGTTTGGTTTTCTTATCTTTGTTCACCACTCCGGCTTAAAAAGGAAGTGAGCCTGCTGGGAAGTTTCTGCAGATGTTGGGTTATAAATAGTGCTAGAAAAGTTACAGTCCTTCATAAAAACACCTAAGTGAAGCACACTTGCCCGGAGCTTGGAATATATGAGACCTGCTGAGAAGTTTATCTTGGCTTGTTTATTTTGACTTTATAAACTATCAACCATAAGGACATTCTGGCTGTCTTCTTAGTGGCAAATTACAGGCAGACATGATATAACAGCATTTGTGGGGGGGTGTTTCTTGGTTTCTTTACAATAGCATCCAACCCTTGGCTTTGGTCAACCTTCTCTAAGCCTTAATAGCAAGGACAAACCCGTTTCTCCCAATTGAACGAAAAGTCCAAAGACCCCTTCCCCTAAAAAATTTAGCATCTGTTAAAGAATTGTTATTTTAGCTTTGCAGACATCTTGCAATCCGTTGCTAGAATGTAAGGGGTAATGAAAACAGCTTGGTCAGGAAAATCTTCAGGAATGCTCGCTCCCCAAATGTAGTCATGGGATAAGGTAATTGCATAGAAATAGAGAATCCATGGGTAGCAAATGCTGGAAATTTTGTAAATGCTGATTATGCGCATACACACACACACACACACACACACAAATAAAGTTTTTCAGACAGACCGGTCTGATTGGTTGCACCTTGGCATTTTGACTGCTATACTGCAGTTCTACTTTTTTTATAATCTCTTTTGCCTTGCAGCCCCCCAACTAGGGTCGTTAAGCAGGCTCAAGTCACAAGAAGCAATGCAAAATAAAGTAGAGGACTTTCTTACTGGAAAAAAAAAAGAACCAAGAGAAAGACTAGCATTGACCTACTTATTACCACAAGGAAGGCTAGAATGGCATTTTAGTGGAAATATTTTATACTTTGCCGTTGACCCCCTTTTGGCATTGCATAGAACAGTGGTTCTCAACCTGTGGGTCGGGACCCCATTTGGGGTCGAACGACCATTTCACGGGGGTCGCCAAACAATGCAGTCCGCCATTTTGTTTTTCCCTTTTCCTTAGCTGTGCTACTCCCTTTTATTCTATTGCCTTTGAAAGCCAATAGAATAGACTCTCTTGAATAGAGTCTAATTCTATTGGCTTTCAAAAGCCAATAGGAATTGTCCAGGCTGTCTCTGCCCTGCTGAGCCCGCCAAAAGTCCCATTCTGCAAACGGTGCTGCACCAGTTGAATAGTCCTCAACTTAACGACCGGTTGAGTAGTCGTTGACTTACGACCGGTTGGGGGTCGTGGCATTCAAAAGGTTGAGAACCACTGGCATAGAATGACTAGGAAAAGTGTGAAAATATTATGCTTTTCATACTTTGACGTCTCTTTTTTTTGGCATTCTGTAGATTCTGTAAAATGCCGAATTTCACACGTTGATGGTAACAGGCATACAATTGGATGAATATAGGGAATAAAGGTGGGTTGGTCTTTTGGGTGGTCCTAGGCCTAGGCCAGGGGTAGGCAACCTTGGCTCTTTTATGACTCTTTTATGCTGGCTCAGGAATTCTGGAAGTTGAAGTCCACGAGTCATAAAAGAGCCAAGGTTGCCTACCCCTGGCCTAGGGCAGTGATGGCGAACCTTTTAGAGACCGAGTGCCCAAACTGCAACCCCAAACCCACTTATGCATCGTCAGGTGCCAGGTGGTTGTGGCCTATTAGGTAGGTGTGGCCCATTGGGTGGGCGTGGCTACGGTGATGACAGCAGACTGGGTGGGACTAAAACGTTCAATCAATCAATTCCAACTTTGCAAGATCTTTTTTTTTCCCCCGTGAGAAGTTGAAATTGGCTGATTGTTTGAACTTTTTTTTGTGTACATGGCGGCGGAGGCCTAAAGCGAAAAGGTTTTATAAAACCCAGCTGAAGGCCTAGGACTGGGGCGACAGTGCACGTGCCCACAGAGAGGGCTCCGAGTGCCGCCTCTGGCACCCGTGCCATAGGTTCGCCATCACTGGCCTAGGGGATGGCTTATGGGGCTTGCAAGCAAGTAAACCTATCAAAATATATAGTTTAAGGCAGTGTTTGTGAACCTGGGCAACTTTTGGACTTGTGGATTTCAACTCCCAGAATTCCTTAGCCAGTTGGCTGGGGAATTCTGGGAGTTGAAGTCCACAAGTCCGAAAGTTGTCCAAGTTCACAAACACTGATTTAAGGTGTGGCCTTTTCACAGGCCTACATCCCTCTGTGTCTTCTGAACAGAGTAAACACTTTTGTAATCTCCACTTTGGTGCGTGTTTTCATTGGGCGTTGCAAACCGGGCAGGTCCAGCTTTCTGGGATAGCATAATAAAATGTAAATAATAATAATACCGCCAGTCCTCGATTTATGAATGTTCATTTAACGACTGTTTGAAGTTATGGCCCTGAAAAAGTGATTTGCGGGTTTTGCAGTATCCTAGTCACATGATCAAAATTGCATTGCTTGACAACCAACACGTATTTATGCTGGTTGCAGTGTCACATGATCGCCACTTGCAACCCCCCCCAGGCTACTTTTGACAGTGGGAGAAGTCAAATTCATTTAACGATGGTGCGATTTGCTTAACAACTGGAGCAAGATAGGTCATAAAATCGGGTGTGATGCACTTAAAAATGCATTGCTTAGTGACCAAAATCCCAATCCTAGTTGCGGTCGTATGTTGAGGACTATAATAATAACAATAATAATGATACATGAATGTTGCCCGACTCTTCAACAACTCTGGGTGCTTCCCTGAAGTCTCCAGCTTGATTTTTATTTTACTTTTTTAAAAAAATCAGGTTTCAGATGAAAACCCCCTGTCAACATCCAGCTGGAGACTCCAAATAAAACTCGAGATTAAATCTGTTTCCCCAAAACTTCTGATTTATTGAATACACTGCGTTGTTATGTCAGAGTAAAACTAATTCTAAGGTTCCCACACCAATTCACAGACTTAAAACAATAGTTTTCCCAACTAAAGATGATTAAGGGACTGGAGGCTAAAACATATAAGGAACGGTTGCTGGAATTTGGTATGTCCAGTTTAACGAAGAGAAGAACGAGGGGGAACATGATAGCAGTGTTCCAATATCTCAGGGGCTGCCCCAAAGAAGAGGGAATCAAGCTATTCTCCAAAACGCCTGAAGGCAGGACAAGAAGCAAGGGATGGAAACTAATCAAGGAGAGAAGCAACCTAGAAATATAGAGAAACTTCCTGGCAGTTAGAACAATTAACCAGTGGAACAACCTGCCTCCAGAAGCAGTGAATGCTCCAACACTGGAAGTTTTTAAGAAGAGACTGGACAGCTATTTGTCTGAAATGGTGTAGGGTTTCCTGCCTGAGCAGGGGGTTGGACTCGATGACCTCCAACTTTAATAATAATAATAATAATACCCCCATGTAATCCACATCAACAAGTCCACTTTGTTATGGGAACCGTCTGCTTCAAATCCACACCTGTTCCGGTGTTCTTGACAAGGCTTCATGCTCCCATGGTCTGTAGCTGAATCGAAGAAGTTTCGTTTCTTCCATCTACCCACTTGAGAATAACACCTATTCCCCCCCCCCCCTTTATCTAAAGGCAAGTTGAAACGCACAGGCTAAAGTTTCATGCTTGACACCCCCTTTTCCCCCCTCAAAAGTCCAGGGGGATTCTCTTACTACAGTAAGCAAGACAGCTAGGTGAGCAACCTAATACGGCTTGAATTAAACTTTCTTCCTTCTCTTTTCTTTTTTTCCTCATGCAGACTTTCCACACGCCAAGTCTGGGGGACGAAGAGTTTGAGATTCCACCCATCGCGCTGGACGCTGACCCTTCCTTGGCTGTTTCCGATGTGGTTGGGCACTTTGAGGACCTGGGTGACCCCGTGACTGCCCCCGATGCCACTTTCTCGGCCCAGTATGGGGTTCAGGCCCTTGACATACCTGTGGGCATTAGCCATGGCCTTATGGAGCAAGGGGGCGGGCTGCTCAGTGGTGGGCTAGCCATGGTAAGCCAAACATCATCAGAACAGGGTTTGGAGAGGTGGAACAAGTGGAAAGGGAAGGTGGTTCTCTGTTGCTGATTCGACAGCAGTTTATTTACTGATGAAAGCTATTGAAAATGCTGATTACTACCGTCTTTCAGCAGCATCATAAAGCACTGTGAAGCAGTATGTAAGTTTAAGTGCTATTGCTGCTGCCCTCCCTCCCTCCCTCCCTCCCTCCCTCCCTCCCTCCCTGCCATTTCGTTTCCCCCCTTCCCTCCCAGTGGTTAGAATGCAGTATTGCAGGCAAACTCTGTCTACTGCCAGCAGTTCGATTCTGACCAGCTCACGGTTGACTCGGCCTTCCCTCCTTCCGAGGTCGGTAAAACAAGGACCGAGATTGTTGGGGGCCATAAGTTGACTCTCTAAACCGCTTGGAGAGGACTGTAAATGATATGAAGCAGTATGTAAGCCTTAAGTGCTATTGCTATTGCTAAAAACGGTTAAATTAAGAGTTTAAAGGGGGCATTTTTTCAGTCCTTCCTCAAGGCTAATGAAAAAGAAAAAAAACCCCAGCCCTTCAGTTTGGTAGCGAGGACATTCAGAACAATGAGATAATTGTGAAGGCCCATTTCTGAGGTCCTACTTTGAGATGGCTTTTGACAGGCAGGTCCTCGGTGGATCCCAGTAAGTAGCTGGAGGAAGAGGCTGGCAGACAGCAACAGCAATAGCACTGAGACTTATATACCGCTTATTCACTATGCTTTACAGCCCTCTCTAAGCGGTTTGCAGAGTCAGCCTATTGCAGAGGTGTCAAACTCAATTTCATTGAGGGCCGCATCAGCATTGCGGTTGTCTGTGGGGGGGGGGCTACTGGGTGGGCGTGGATGTAGTGGGTGTGGCCTACTGGGTGGGCATGGCCAGCTCTACATCGTTTGTGTCAAGGGTGCTTGTGGGGGCCTGGGCAGGAGTGGGACAGATCTGAGGGTCTCTGGCAGAAGGGGGTGGGACCAGGGCAGGCGCCAAGGCATGGTCCATTTCTTCATTCCTCACAAAGGGTGACACCTCCCCAGCATGCACCCAGGAGGTGGGGCCGACACAGCAGGAGCTGGTTCCTCGCTGTTTCCAGACGGCTTTGTGGAGCTAAGACTGAATGCTTCTCAGCATAGATGGCCATCACAAAATTGTACATTGGCTCCCGGCCGGCCTAGGCCAGGGCCATGGCAGCGGGGGGCATTCCCTCACTGTTTCCAAGATGGCTTCGCGGGCCACATGAAACCACTTCGCAGGCCGCATCCGGCCCCCAGGCTTTGTGTTTGACATGTCTGTCCTATTGCCTCCAACAGTCTGGGTCCTCATTTTACCGACCTTAAAAAGATGGAGGGCTGATTCAACCTTGCGCCTGGTGAGACTCGACTGCCAAACTCCTGGCATTCTAGCCAATGCGCCACCTGGGCTCATGTATTTATGAACATTTATATGGCTGCCCAATTCACTCTCAGTAACTGGGCAGGCTTACAAAGATAAAAGCCCCAATTCAAAAACCTTTAAAAAAGCAATACCAACCGAACGAGCTTCCATCCCACTCTGGGGTCCCCAGGCCCATTGACAGAACTGGGTCTTCAGGGCCTTGCAAAAGAGCATCAAGCGGGGTTCGACCTTACCTGCGCAGGGATCATGTTCCACAGGGAGGGAGCCACCACAGAAAAGGCCCTTCTGCCTGGTCCTGCTAGATGGACTTGCTTCGGAGAAGGGACTTGTTCCCTGCCTGTCTTTCAAATGTGTCAAGATGGAATGGGGAGACCCAAGGTCCACCAACCCATCTCCTGGCTTTCTGGCATGCCGATGAGGGCTTGGCCCTCCCTTTGTGATTGCTTAAGAAACAGCCAGATTTCTTTCCTCAGGCTTTGAAATCAGTCCAGGATTTCAGAGTGTGTGCTGTTCGTTTTACTAGTTTAGCTTTACTTTTATTCTGGTTTTGTTAGTGCCGGCTTAGAAAGTCAGGGCACAAATAGTTGGTTGCGTGACTGTTCAAAGTTCCCATGGCACTAAAAAAAGTGACTTTATGACCATTTTTTACCGTTGCAACCTTTGCCAGCAGGTCCCCTTATCACATGAGATACTTTTGGATGCTTGACAAGCGGTTCATATTTATGACGATTGTACTGTCCCGGGGTTACATGTTCTTCTTTTGTGAGCTTTGACAAGCAAAAGTCAATTGGGAAGCTTGATTCGCTTAAGAACCGGGCTACTAATTTAACAGCTGCATTGATTCAAACAAAAATGGCAAGAAAAGTCGTAAAATGGGGCAAAACTCACTTTTAACAACTGTCTCACTTAGCAACAGAAATTCTGGGGTCAATTGTGGTAAGTTGAGGACTACCTGTACACAGATACAGGTAATTCCCGAGTTGCGAACGTTCGCTGAGCGGATGTTTGAAGTTACGTGATAAGTGCCCCCTAGTGCAGCGGTAGGCAACCTTGGCTCTTTTATGACTCATGGACCTCAACTCCCAGAATTCCTGAGCCAGCCATGCTGAGGGGAAAGGGAGAGGTTTTCAAGCTGAGCTATGCTGGCTCAGGAATTCTGGGAGCTGAAGTCCACGAGTCATAAAAGAGCCAAGGTTGCCTACCCCTACCCTAGTGCTTACAAGCAAGTCCCGGAATTATGAATATTGCAGCACCATGGCAGTCGTTTGCCCTCACGAGCAATGGCTCTGCAACATTCACCCTGGTTATTCCCTCCCTCCCCACCTCTGCCCCAGGTCTCCCTAGGCACCAGGCCTTCAATGCTCACCTTGCAAAGATCGAGATCCTTTGCTTTCTTGGCTGCTCCAGGCCTTCGGTGCATTCGCTGGGAACGGAGGCCTAAAGTAATGCAAGATCATGCGAGATAAGTGGGGCAAGATCTCACGCTACTGATCTCATGGTACTTTAGGCCTCTGTTCTCTGCAACACAGAATGGAACCGAAGCTGGAGGACGCTTCTGTGGCTTGATCCGGGTGCCGGAGGCCTTTTCCAGACCTCGGCCGCCCAGATCGGAGGCCGGGGGACGCTTCCACGTACCTCCAGAGGCCGGATTTGGGCATCTGAGGTCTTTTCCAGGCTGCTGCCACCCGGAAGTGAGGCTAGGGGACGCTTTGGCCCTCTGGCAGTCAGAGGCCTTTTCCAGGCCACTTCTGCCCAGATCTGAAGCCGGGGGATGCTTCCGCGGCCCTCCGGTGGCTGGATCCAGCCTCCAGAGCAGTGTTTCTCAACCTTGACAATTTTAAGGCATGTGGACTTCAACTCCCAGAATTCCACAGCCAGCATTGCTGGCTGTGGAATTCTGGGAGTTGAAGTCCACATGCCTTAAAATTGTCAAGGTTGAGAAACACTGCTCCAGAGGGCTGCAGAAGCGTCCCCTGGCCTCACTTTTCCAGGTGAGTCCAGTGTGGCAGGAAGGGAGGGGGAAGCATGAGTTATCTTAAGGGTCAGGAAGGCCTTGGGGGCCTGTTCCATCACTAGGCCCTCCATGGCCTCCCCCCCCCAGATACTTCATGTTCACTTAACGAGCCACGTGAGTCTTAACGAGCAGGGGAGTGATCTCGTTTGTGATACGAGATTCACTCCCACGAGTTTTCAAGTTATGAATGGAATGGGCAGGCTCCATAACACCCGTAACTCAAGGACTACCTGTGATGTGGTTTGAGGAAAATAACCCAATCAGGTTGAGTCTGCCGAGCAGAGGTGTGAACAGCTGAAAACTAAACTAAAATGGCACCTGGCAGCATAGCAGAGATTGCCCCACAGTGATCATCTGTGGTCTAAATCTAACTTTACCCTTTTTTTTTTCTAGGATTTAGATCATCCCATGGGAACCCAGTACAGCGCCAATCCACCTGTCACCATTGACGTGCCTATGACAGACATCAGCACTGGCCTCATGGGGCATGGGCAGCTGACCACCATCGACCAATCAGAGCTGAGCTCTCAGCTGGGACTCAGCCTGGGAGGCAGTTCGATCCTGCCTCCCACGGCCCCGTCCCCTGAGGAGCGGCTTACACCCACCCCTTCACCCTCCAATTCTCTGCAGGAGGAGGAGCCAGAAGAAATCAGGCGGGTTAGTTTTGACGGGCTGGGTGTTGAGATGTGGAGGATTCTCAGTGCTCTTTGAGCTTGGCTGTTTTCTTGCAGACATTTCGTTACCCAACTAGGTAACATCATCATTGCAAACCCCACTTCCTCTTTTCACAGGTGATGCCCAGCCCTGTGTAGCTTTTGAAACAGCCCAGCTGCTGTCTATAGATAATTCTCAATTGTCCTAGTCATGGTTGTCCCAAAGGTGCTTTTTCAGAAAAGCAACTAAACTTTCTTCGTTTTTTTTCTTTGAAAACATTTCATTATTATATTTTTATTGATTTTTTTACACAAACATAGATCATTCAATAGCTGGTAAACAGTGTGATGTCTGGGTTACATTTGTAAAAACAGTCCCTAACAATTAATTTTTATAGTTTGTATTTCATATATTAATTTTGTTTACTTTCTTCTTTCCCTGAAACATCCTTTTTTGCAAACATTGCGTTAATTCTTATTGTTTTAATAAATGACAGTTTAGTATATATTTTTTCCAATATTCCTAAAGAATAATCATCATATTAGTACATTTCTTTTCTTTCCATTCATTTGGATTTCCTTATCATCAATCCTATTACAGTCCTTATTTTAGTTTATTTCTCCCACCAAATTCTAAGTATTTTTACTGGTAGCAATTAGTTACATTTACATTGACAGACTTGATTCTATTTTTTCCTTATAAGCCATCTCACATTTTTATGTTTCTTGAGTATTGAATATAAAAGTAAAAAAAGAGAGGAGAAAAGAAAAAGAATGAAAAAAAAATTATAAAAAAATAAAAAGAATAGAAGAAAGCAGTAATAACAGAACAGAGAAAATAATATAGTACTTAGAATATATATCCCTCCTAGATTAATAGTATTTATTTTCTCAAATTTCTTATTCTTTTTAATCATAGTTAAGAATATATTTAATCTTTATACATTCTATTCAAATAAATCTAGTCATCTAATCCCTTAACTCTAATTCACTTATATATATATGTACTTTTCTTGAATTCAGTCATGTTTAAGTATCTAAAACATTTCATCCCTCTTAGAATGGTGTGTTTCAAATTTTTTCTATTTCTTTAACCATATTCAAACACATGTTTGTTTTTTAAATATTCTCTCTGATATGTCCCATCCTCTTTTTTCTTAATCTCTTTTCTTTGCCCGGAATCTTTCTTGATCAATATACTTTGCTGGATCCAAAGGTTTTCCCATATGATCGTAGGTGTTCCTGTAGGTAGATATAGAAAGTGAATCAATATCTCTGTCCTGAGCACTTGCACTCTTCTTTCCATCAAAGTCCTTTCTCTTATCTTCCACTTTGTTTTGTAGTGTTGAAGTATAAGTTGTCTTCCTTCCACTTGAATTAAATCATGCTTTTTAATTTTGTAAAGGTCCATCTTTAAGTCTTTTCCCTCTGATTTATATTCCAACATCTCTGCTGTGTTCTCCTGAGGATTTTTTTGAAGTGAACTTAAATTGGAGATGAGTTGACTTATACTTTCAAAGTTGTTTTGTATTTCTTTGTGGTTTAAAATCATTGTCCTTTGAATGGATTGCAGAATATCGTATATTTCCTCTTGTAAAACATCCATTGTTTCTATTACTATCACTTTCTCTAAACAGCTGTATTTACTAAGGTTTTAAAAGCCAAAAACAAAAGCTTTATAGCTCCTCATCCACCAGTAGGTGTCATAGTTGGATCATTTTTCAATTTTCTTTTTCTCCTTAAAGAGTTAGATTCGCCGCTTCCAATAGCCAAAAAGGGGGGAAGAATCCCTCCCCTTTTTTCACTCTCGGAGGTATTTTTTCTTCTTGGGAGTTCTTTTTATTTTTTTGAAAACATTTCACTTCTCATCCAAGAAGCTTCTTCAGTTCACGTAAGTAAGTGGGACCTCAGAAAAAGCAGTTTGGCAACTTTATGACATGTGGACTTCAACTCCCAGCATATGCTGGCTGGGGAATTCTGGGAGTTGAGGTCCACACGTCTTAAAATTGCCAAGGATAGAAATACTGGAATAAAGTCTGGTGCAAAGAAGAATAAACTCTGTTCCACCTGCCCACAGGCATAACCTCCATCTCTGCTCTGTGCAGCTCTTTCTGAATACAGAATACAGAATAACAGTTGGAAGGGACCATGGAGGTCTTCTAGTCCAGCCCCCTGCTCAGACAGGAAAGATTATACCATTTCAGACAAATGGTTGTCCAATCTCTTCTTAAAAACTTACAGTGTTGGAGCACCCACAACTTCTGGAGGCAAGACATTCCACTGATTAATTGTTCTCACTGTCAGGAAATTTCTCCTTAGTTCTAGGTTGCTTTTCTTCTTGATGAGTTTCCATCCATTGCTTCCATTGCCTTCAGGTGCTTTGGAGAACAGGTTGACCCCCTTTTCTTTGTGGCAGCCCTTTAGATATTGGAACACTGCTATCATGTCATCCCTAATCCTTCTTTTCATTAGACATACCCACTTCCTATAACTGTTCTTCGAATGTTTTAGCCTCCAGTCCCCTAATCATCTTTGTTGTTCTTCTCTGCACTCTTTCCAGAGTCTCAACATCTTTTTTATAACATGGTGACCAAAACTGGATGCTGTGAGATAATAAAATCTATTAATGTCTCATATATCTGGTTCAGCGTCCCCTTGATAGATTAGAAGTTGCTAACTACCAGAGAACTTATTGATCAAGTAAAAGCCTGAGCTTGCTGAGTGATACTTAACCTAAGTTTGAACTGTGGCCTTCTGTAGACCATAGTGCTTGCATCTGCATACAATAAGGAACCAGAAAGTGTGAGAATTGAGGAACTATTGCAACAGTATATATAAAAATGGTAATGTGGAAAGTTGTGGTAAGAACAAGAAACTAGCGCAATTACTGTTGTCACCCCAGAACCCCAGATATATGGGGTTGTGGTTTTAAGGTAGAAAAGGGTAGCACTAAAAGAGGGTCGGGGTCAAGGTTCCCATAGACGGACCAAGTACATCAGAACTCCGAGGCTAAAGTTTTCCTCAAAGAATATGTTTATTGGCTACATAGTATCGGCATGGTCAAAAGCGAAACCAAGTCTGAAATTCCCTCCAAAGAGTTACACTATTACAAAGTTAAACATCCTACCCCAAAGCTATGCTGTCAGCTACATTTCCCAATAGAATTGCTTGGTGGGCTTTCTAACAAAATGCCCAGTCTCTATACCTGGAGAAAGGAATGACCTTGGTTCCCACAGGACAATAAATTGTTTAGACTAGCAAAGAATCTCCACACACACACCCTCCCTTTCTTGTGGCAACCTAGAACCACTAAGATGGCTGCAGTCAGATTTGTTGTGGAGTTGACAGTCGGGGCCAATCGGCCACAAGCTGTCCCTCTTTGACCGGTTGTACAGTTGGCCCTCCTTGCAACGGGTTATGACAGGTATGTACTTATTGTGTGTTCTAAATTCCAATAAACCTCCGGATCCTACAGTGACATGTTTCTGGTGTGCTTTCTCTTGCCTTTAATGAGTTTTTCCTCTAACGATGCAGTATTCTGAGTGTGGCCTTACTTGGGCCTTATCAAGTGGTATTAAGACTTCATGTGATCTTGATTCTGTCCCTCTGATAATGCAGCCTAGGGCATTTCTGCATGTCTGACCTTGTTCATCTCTGTCCCATAGCAAGTTTCTGTCGCCAAACCAGCCCCACCTGCTTTGGTGGTGCCACCGCCTGTTGCAGCACCCGCGGTCGTGCTGGACATCGGGAAGAAGCAGAAACCACCCAAGAAGCAGAAGAAAAAGAAAGATCCCAATGAGCCCCAGAAACCCGTTTCTGCCTACGCCCTCTTTTTTCGGGACACCCAGGCAGCCATTAAGGGGCAGAATCCCAAAGCCACCTTCGGCGAGGTCTCCAAGATTGTCGCCTCGATGTGGGACAGCTTGGGAGAGGAACAGAAGCAAGTACGTCTCAAAGAGTTTGTTGCATTGAGCGGTTGTAGGGGGTGGGACACACCACATCCATCTCCAAACTTCAGCACCAAGGACAGCACCCCAGAGAGTCCAACTGGAGCCCTTGAAGAAAGAGGCAGTCTGCATTTGCCAGTTTTCACCTCCAAACATGTTGCACGAAAGTTATGCTAGAAAAATCAATTACGTTGATCAATTAAGTTGCTACTTGGTGGGGATCAAGTGGAGGAAGCTGGCCCTTCAAGAGCAGCAGAAGCCTGAGCAATGTTTTCCAATCTTAGCCATTTTAAGATGTGTGCAACTCCCAGAATACCCCAGCCAGCAGAATTCTGGGAATTGAAATTCACACCTCCTAAAATGGCAGAGGTTGGGTAAGATTGCATGACGAGATTCTTTATAAAGATGTGTGCATGTGAAATAATCTCTTGGGAGAGGAACGCACGAAATCTTCCTCCTTAAAGTCTGATCTGAGTTCCATGTGATGCATTGAGCAGAATTGATACTAAAGTAGTGGGTTTCTCTTAGCTCTCGGCTCTTTTTGAGCTGGAGAGTCGCAGACTTTGGCAACTTTAAGACATGTGGACTTTCAACTCCCAGCATTTGCTGGCTGGGGAATTCTGGATTTGAAGTCCACACGTCTTAAAGTTGCCAAGGATAGAAACACTGCAACAGAGGCTGGTGCAAACAAATGGGAACTTCCAGAGACAGGAGCTTGTGCTCTGCTCTTGATTGATGGATGTCACTTCCCCACACACAACACAGTGGAGGCATCCACCTGGTGAACCCTGGCTACTATCTAAAGCAGTGGTTCTCAACCTGTGGGTCGGGACCCCATTTGGGGTCGAACGACCATTTCACGGGGGTCGCCAAACAACGCAGTCCGCCATTTTTTCCCCCTTTTCCTTAGCTGTGCTACTCCCTTTTATTCTATTGGCTTTTGAAAGCCAATAGAATAGACTCTCTTGAATAGAGTCTAATTCTATTGGCTTTCAAAAGCCAATAGGAATTGTCCAGGCTGTCTCTGCCCTGCTGAGCCCGCCAAAAGTCCCATTCTGCAAACGGTGCTGCACCAGTTGAGTAGTCCTCGACTTACGACCGGTTGAGTAGTCCTCGACTTACGACCGGTTGGGGTCGCGGCATTAAAAAGGTTGAGAACCACTGTTCTAAAGCCATTCCTTTTTTAAAAAAATCTGATTCATTAATCCGGAACCCTTTTAGCTTTTTGTCCTCTTTGGAGGGTCATTGATCCATTTCAATTAAATGATCTTTTATCAGTGCCTCTGGAGCACCAATCAGTGCTGCTCTGAGTGGATCAGGTTAATAATGGACCTGCCTCAGATGAAATCCGAGCCATTTCCTATTAAATTGTACGGTGCAGTGTGTAGGTAGTCCTTGACTTACAATCATTAGTTTAGTGGCCTTTCAAAGTTACAATGGCACTGGGGGGGGGGGGAAGTGACTCACAACTGTTTTTCACATTTACAGCTGTCATGGTCACATGATCAAACTTCGGAGACTTGACAACCGGTTCATATTTATGACGGGTTGCAGTGTGCCGGATCATGAGATCCCTTTTTGCAACCTTCTAACAAACAAAAGTCAACGGGGAAGCCAGTTTGACTTAACAAGCGTATTACCAGCTTAACAGCTGCAATGATTCACTTATACAACTGTGGCAAGAAAAATCGTAAAAATGGGGCAGAACCCAAATGTCTCGCTTAGCAACAACAGAAATTTTGGGCTCCATTGTGATTGTAAATCAAGGACTATCTACACTACGAGGCTGTGCTTCTCAACCTCGTCAACTTCCAGTATTCCATATGCTGGCTGGGGAATTCTGGGAGTTGAAGTTCACCCATCTTAAAAGCTGCTGAGGTTGAGAGATACTGTATTAGAGTAAGCCAGCCAACAGAGACAAATTGCGATGAATGCTGGGAGATGCAGTGCAACCCTCTGCCAAGCCTCAAGGGAAGGGCCTAGAAAAGTCTCGTTCCCACGGCTTGCTGCCTTTGCTCCCCTAAATGCTGAACCCCATTTCTAAGTGGTCCAAACCAAGTGTCATGGTTCTGAAAGAAGAAGCTCTTGAAACAACTTTGAGGCATTGTTTACCTTAAAGAATCTTTAATTTGCAACATAGCTTAGGCACGTACATAGAGAAGCCAAAATTTGGAATTCTCCCCCAACACACATATCTAAGCATAACTCACTCCTTCCTTTAACAGTCAGTAATCACATTCTCCAATTGGTTTGAAGTGTGAACTTTCCCTCCCCGTTATCTCCTCTTATTACAACTAACCTTGAAGAATACTCTACTGCAGTGGTTCTCAATCTTTTTAATGCCGCGACCCCCCCCCCCAACCGGTCGTAAGTCGAGGACTACTCAACCGGTCGTAAGTCGAGGACTACTCAACTGGTGCAGCACCGTTTGCAGAATGGGACTTTTGGCGGGCTCAGCAGGGCAGAGACAGCCTGGACAATTCCTATTGGCTTTTGAAAGCCAATAGAATTAGACTCTATTCAAGAGAGTCTATTCTATTGGCTTTCAAAAGCCAATAGAATAAAAGGGAGTAGCACAGCTAAGGAAAAGGGGGGAAAAAATGGCGGACTGCGTTGTTTGGCGACCCCCGTGAAATGGTCATTCGACCCCAAATGGGATCCCGACCCCCAGGTTGAGAACCACTGCTCTCCTGAGATATTGTTATGGCTAACGCTAACTAGTCCCCAAGCACATTCTTCCCTCCTCCCTTCCAGCTCCCATCTAATTTTAACTCTAAAAGTAATACACAGGTTAAATAGAAAATGTCTGCATCTTCATGTATTGTCAAGCAAGAACATCCGATGTTAGCAGCATTGACACCAAGCCCTTTTCTACATCAATGACTGCAGGCAAGGGAGTAACTCTTGTTTTTTTTAAATCGTTCTTTCTGCTAAGTGAACCACCTGAAACAGAGACCCAGCCTGTTTTGTAATTCCCATCTCTCCTCTCGTAGGTCTACAAGCGGAAAACGGAAGCCGCCAAGAAAGAATATTTGAAAGCGCTAGCTGCCTATCGGGACAACCAAGAGTGCCAAGTAAGGGGACATAACTTCCTCCTCTTTCCCCGTCCTTGCTTCACTGACACCTATCCCTTATTCTACTCGCCTTCCAGAGAAGACAGGAAGAGGAAAAAACCCACCTCGGGCCAGAGATGTCATTTGCCCTGAACTGCCTTTGCTGACAAGCGGCGCCTCTCTAGGATTTGAGCAGGAAAGGGCCTTATGCTCTTCCGGATGCTAGTTAACAAGCGGAAGCTGGAAGCTTGTCATTGGTAACAGCGCAGAGAGGCTTTCGGTCATTAAGTGACCTTTTTTTTTGAGGAGGGATGGTTAGAGGAAGTTTGGGGCTTTGGTCCTAAGGTGGGAAGGATGCCAAAGCATCCCATCGCTTGTGATGGACCACAGATGCAAGGAAGATGCCAACAATGCCTCTCATTTCATAACCTCTGTGCTTTAATTTTAAAAAAACAACAGCCTGGCTTGAAGGAGAACTTATTTATTAGATTTTTATCCTGCCTTTATTACTTTTATAAGTAATTCAAAGCAGAGAGAATACACATAACTCTTCCTTATTTTTCCCCACAACCACCACCCTAAGAGATAAGTTGGGCTGAGAGAGAGGGACTGGCCCAAAGTCACCCAGCTGGCTTGCATGCCTAAGGCAGGACTAGAACTTCCAATCTCCTGGTGATTGGTCCAAGGTCTCCCAACTAGCTTTCATGCCTAAGGCAGGACTAGAACTCACAACCCCCTGGTGTTTGGTCCAAGGCCACCTAACTGGCTTTCATGCCTAAGGCAGGACTAGAACTCACAATCCCCTGGTGGTCCAAGGTCTCCCAACCAGCTTTCATGCCTAAAGCGGGACTAGAACTCACCGTCTCCTGGTTTCTAGGCCAGCACCTTCACCGCTGCACTGTCTCGGCTTACAGACTGCTGAGGATTGCTGTTGCAAACATGAAAGGGGATATCAAAAGGTTTGGCGGTCGGTCCCCCTGCTCTAAGATTCTTCCCTCTTGACATTTATTCCTCTTTCTGTTTGATGTCGACTGAAAGAGAAAAATAAGTAGTTTGGGGTAAGCTAAATAGCTTCAGTGAGGCTTCCCTGTTTTGCCTAATGCTTGAGAATTTAAAGTAGCTCACTCAAGGGTGGATAATACAAACTTATGTACCAAAGAATAGGAAGCTAACCCCGGGCTATTACTTGAGGTTTGCTGGCTAAAAAGTGTAAAGAATTTTTTGCACTTGAGTCAGAAGCATCGAGGTGCTTCCAGGTTGAAAGGATTAGCTGGCGACATCACCGTTGCCCTGGGGATGCCCGTGGGGGTTCCTTTCATGTCTCTGTCCAGGAGCTGGAGCGAATGACGGGCGCTCAACCCTGTTCCACAGCAGTCCTCGAATGCGGGCTTGCTAACCTCCTGTCCAGCATTCCAGCCACTCCAGCCGCCGTGCTCCTTTTAACGCAAAGCTAAAAATGCTAGATAGGGGTTTGGGTGAGCTCTGTCACTAGGGGCTCATACTGTCCTGTTTCATGTAAACAAGACTACCGAGAGCCGGTTAGGTGTAATGGTTAAGCATCAGACTAGAAACAAAGAGAACATTTAATCCTGTCATAGGCATGAAAGCCAGCTGGGTTGCTTTGGGTCAATCACCAGGAGACTGGAAGTTCTAGTCCCATCTAAGCCACGAAAGCCAGCTGGGTGATTTTGGGACAATCCCCAGGAGACTGGAAATTCTAGTCCCATTTAAGCCACGAAAGTCGGCTGGGTGGCTTTGGGCCAGTCACAGGAGACTGGAAATTCTAGTCCTATCTAAGCACAAAAGTCAGCTGGATAGCTTTGCGCCAGTCACCAGGAGACTGGAAATTCTAGTCCCATCTAAGCCATGAAAGCCAGCTGGGTGGCTTTCACCAATCACCAGGAGACTGGAAGTTCTAGTCCCAACTAAGCCACGAAAGCCAGCTGGGTGATTTTGGGACAATCCCCAGGAGACTGGAAATTCTAGTCCCATTTAAGCCACGAAGGTTGGCTGGGTGGCTTTGGGCCAGTCACAGGAGACTGGAAATTCTAGTCCCATTTAAGCCACGAAAGTCGGTTGGGTGGCTTTGGGCCAGTCACAGGAGACTGGAAATTCTAGTCCTATCTAAGCACAAAAGTCAGCTGGATAGCTTTGCGCCAGTCACCAGGAGACTGGAAATTCTAGTCCCATCTAAGCCATGAAAGCCAGCTGGGTGGCTTTCACCAATCACCAGGAGACTGGAAGTTCTAGTCCCATCTAAGCCACGAAAGCCAGCTGGGTGATTTTGGGACAATCCCCAGGAGACTGGAAATTCTAGTCCCATTTAAGCCACGAAAGTCGGCTGGGTGGCTTTGGGCCAGTCACAGGAGACTGGAAATTCTAGTCCTATCTAAGCACAAAAGTCAGCTGGATAGCTTTGCGCCATTCACCAGGAGACTGGAAATTCTAGTCCCATCTAAGCCATGAAAGCCAGCTGGGTAGCTTTCACCAATCACCAGGAGACTGGAAGTTCTAGTCCCATCTAAGCCACGAAAGCCAGCTGGGTGATTTTGGGACAATCCCCAGGAGACTGGAAATTCTAGTCCCATTTAAGCCACGAAAGTTGGCTGGGTGGCTTTGGGCCAGTCACAGGAGACTGGAAATTCTAGTCCTATCTAAGCACAAAAGTCAGCTGGGTAGCTTTGTGCCAGTCACCAGGAGACTGGAAATTCTAGTCCCATCTAAGCCATGAAAGCCAGCTGGGTAGCTTTCACCAATCACCAGGAGACTGGAAATTCTAGTCCCACCTTAACCACGAAAGCCAGCCAGTCCCTCTCTCTCAGCCTAACCCACCTCACAGGGTTGTTGTTGTGGGAAAAAATAGGAGGAGGAGGAAAGAGTACCATGTATGTTTACTGCCTTGAGTTACTTAGAAAGCAATAAAAACAAGATTTTTTTTTAAAAAAAAATCTAATCACACAAGTTTTGTCGTTCTGGTCTTGTCAGCACTTAGAACTTTATATTTTGCACACCTCGGCCAACTGGGTCAAACACATTGTGTGGTTTCCTCTGGTCAAATTACTGTATGTCAGGTTTGCAATTTGCTTCCTGAAACTTTGGTGCCTGCATCTCTTGAGATCTTGGGAAGAAGAGGAGGACATAGGGAGGGCAAGTGTAGCCCCACACGTCTGCTCTGTTCTTGAACTGTATCGCCGATTTTGTCTTCCCCAGACCACGGTCGAGACGGTGGATCTGGACCCGATCGCCTCTCCTTCGGAACAGCCGGCCCCCGTTGTGGAATCGGCTTCTCCCCCGGCCCCGGTGCTACCCAATCCTCCGGCCCTGGAGAGCCCACCTCCTCCTCCTCCTCCTCCTCCCACGGTCGTTCCCGCCCAGCCCACGGTGGTGGTGACCTCCAGCGCCGGCCCCCAGTCGGCCGGCCAAACCAGCATCACCAAGATCATCATTCCCAAACAGATGCTGCCGTCCTCGCTGGCGGTCACGTCGCAAGGAGGGGTGGTGACGGTCATCCCCGCCACGATGGTGACCTCGCGGGGGATCCAGCTGGGGCAGTTGCAGGCCGGGACAGGCACCACCCAGATTGTCACGCGTTCGGTTTTAGCCGCGGCCGCGGCGGCCGCTTCGTCCATGCACCTGCCGCGGCTGCAGCCTCCCCCTCTTCAGCAGATGCCTCAGCAGCCCCCCGCCCAGCCGGTCACCATTCTCCAGCAACCCCCACCTCTTCAGGCCATGCAGCAGCCGCCCCTGCAGCAGAAGGTGCGCCTCAACCTCCAGCAGCCCCCACCCCCCCTGCAGATCAAAATCCTGCCCCCGCCGGCCCTTCAGATCCAGCCCCTTGCCCTGCGGACGGAAGACAGCAGCCCCGAGAGGCTCGGCACTGAGCTCCAAGCATCTCCGGAGCCCATCGACGTCGTGCCGGAGGTAAGGAGTCTTGTGGGAGAGAAAAAAAAAAGAGCATTGGAGTGAATAGCAGAACAGCAGCCCAATGGAGGTGGAAGGGAGGTCGTCTAGTCCAGGGCTTTTCAACCTTTTCATCCATTGTACCACTTTTAGGATATGGCAACATCCAAGTACCACCAGTCGCCTAGCAAGGTGTCAAAAACTTGATGACCAAAAAAAAAAAAAAAAGGAAAAAAGTAATAAAGTACAGGTATCCCTCGACTTACAACAGTTCGCTTAGTGCAGTGGTTCTCAACCTTTTTAATGCCGCAACCCCCCCCCAACCAGTCGTAAGTCGAAGACTACTCAACTGGTCGTAAGTCGAGGACTACTCGACTGGTGCAGCACCGTTTGCAGGATGGGACTTTTGGCAGGCTCAGCAGGGCAGAGACAGGCTGGACAATTCCTATTGACTTTTGAAAGCCAATAGAATTAGACTCTATTCAAGAGAGTCTATTCTATTGGCTTTCAAAAGCCAATAGAATAAAAGGGAGTAGCACAGCTAAGGAAAAGGGGGAAAAAATGGCGGACTGCGTTGTTTGGCGACCCCCGTGAAATGGTCGTTCGATCCCAAATGGGGTTCCGACCCATAAGTTGAGAACCACTGGCTTAGTGACTGTTCGAAGTTACATTGGCACTGAAAAAAGTGCCCCCCAAGTCACAGCCGAGCAAGACGCCTGCCCACCCGGCAGCGCTCTTCCTCCTGTCCGAGGTTTTCATTGTTGTGACCGTCATAAATATGAATCAGTTGCCAAGCATCTGAATGTAAATCACAAGACCCTGGAGATACTGCAACATGCCAGCTGATCGGCGCTTCTTCTGGGCTCAGCGGAAGCTCCAGGATCAGTGTTGCTTTCAGCTGATTGGTGCTTCTTCAGGGCTCAGCAGAAACACCAGGATCAGTGCTGAGCTCCAGCTGGAGCCTGGCGCTGATCCTGGCGCTTCCGCTGAGCTCTGACAGCCCTGCAGCTCCAGCCATCTCTCGCTCAGGCTTGTGCAGGGCTGCCACCGGTTCAGCTCATTCCCCCCCCCCCCCCGCTACCACTTTTCTAGGATGGTCGCGTACCACCTGCCAGGTGCCATTGTACCACAGGTGGTACCCGCACCATTGGTTGAAAAGCCCTGGTCTAGTCCAACCCCCTGCTCAGGCAGGAAACCCTCTATAATATCAGGAAAATGATTTCCAATCTCTTCTTAAAAACTTCCAGTGTTGGAGCATTTACAACTTCTGAAGGCAAGTCGTTCCACTAATTAATGGTGCTGTCAGGAAATTCTCCTTAGTTCCGGGTTGGTTGTCTCGGTTATTTTCCATCCATTGCTTCTTGTCCTGCATTCAGATGCTTTGGAGAATAGGTTGACTTCCTCTTTCTTTGTGACAGACCCTCAGATATTGGAAGACTGCTATCATATCACCCCCGGTCCTTTTCCTTAGACTAGACCAGGGATAGGCCACCTTGGCTCTTTTATGACTTGTGGACTTCAACTCCCAGAATTCCTGAGCCAGCCATGGCTCAGCTTGGAAACCTTTCCCCTTCCCCTCAGCATGGCTGGCTCAGGAATTCTGGGAGTTGAAGTCCACGAGTCATAAAAGAGCCAAGGTTGCCTACCCCTGGGCTACCATGTCAAGCCATGGAAGTTCTGATTCCAATTATATCGTACGTCGAGGACTACCTCTAATAGCATCTTGTCTGGCCAATGAGGAGATTGGATTCTGTACTTAAGAATGGAGGGATGAGACCATTTCTAGCAGTCTCAGGAAAACACTCAATAATGAGGAATTTCTGCAACTGTTCTTCCTATGTTTTAGCCTCCAGCCTCCCGGATCTGTCTTTAATTAAGGGACTTTTTAGGCATAACCCAATATTGTTTGCTTCTCCTGTCAATGACTGTGGTGTGTGTGTGTGTGTGTGAGTTGCGCCCACCAAATATCTGAATCTTTCAGCAGATAGAAAGCGTGGGAAGAAGACTACTTGAGGCTAGGAAAGAAGCTTCCCGTTTTGTTTCTATTCAATTGAAAGCAAATGTGGCCCACAACCACTAATGGTAATGGAATTTAACTGGGCTACAATTTAATCCCTACATTTTTTTATTTCTTGAATTTACAAACTGCCAGCCTCGCTCTGAAAGCAGACACTGGTGGGCTTATAATTAAGAAATCTTAAATACAAAAATATAAACATTGGTCTAGTCCAGGGGTAGGCCACCTTGGCTCTTTTATGCCTGGTGGACTTCAACTCCCAGAATTCCTGAGCCAGCCATGCTGAGGGGAAAGGGAGAGGTTTCCAAGCTGAGCCATGCTGGCTCAGGAATTCTGGGAGTTGAAGTCCACGAGTCATGAGGGGGCCATATTTTCCCTCATGCTGGCTCAGGAATTCTGGGAGTTGAAGTCCACGAGCCATAAAAGAGCCAAGGTTTCCTACCCCTGGTCTAGTGGATAAGATGCTAGTCTAGAAACCAGGAGACGATGAGATCTAGTCCCATCTTAGAGTCATGAAATCCGGCTGGGTGACTTTGGACCAATCGCCAGGAGACTGGAAGTTCTAATCCCGCCTGAGGTACGAAAATCAGCTGAGTGACCTTTGGCTAGTCATTCTCTCTCAGTCCAGCCCACCTCACAGGATTGTTGTGGTGGGGAAAACAGCAGGAGGGAGGAATATTACGTAAGTTCACCGCCTTGAGTTACTTACAAAGTAACAAAGGTGGGATAAAAATCGTAACAGATAAATAAATAGTAACAATTAAATCAGTGGAACAGCTTGCCTCCAGAAGTTGTGGGGGCTCCAATACTGGAAGTTTTAAAAAAGAGATTGGACGGGCCATTTGTCCGAAATGGTATAGGGCAGCGATGGCGAACCTTTGAGAGACCGAGTGCCCAAACTGCAACCCAAAACCCACTTATGTATTGCCAGGTGGGCGTGGCCCATTGGGTGGGCATACCTGTGGTGGTAACGGCAGACTGGGTGGGACTAAAAAGTTCAATCAATTCCAACTTTGCGTGATCTTTTTTTCCCCCGCAAGAAGTTGAAATTGATTGAACTTTTTTTTTTTTTTGCACATAGCAGCGGAGGCCTAAAGTGAAAAGGTTTTATAATATCCATCTGAAGGCCTAGGACTGGGGCGATGGCGCGCGTGCCCACAGAGAGGGCTCTGCGTGCCACCGGTTCGCCGCCATGGGTATAGGGCAGTGATGGCAAACCTTTAGAGACCGAGTGCCCAAACCACAACCCAAAACCCACTTATTTATGGAAAAGTTCCAGGGCCGCATCAACATTGTGCCCTCAAGGGGGTGGGGGTGGGCGTGGCTGTGGTGATCACGGCAGACTGAGTGGGCATGGCCGGGGTGGGCGTGGCCACCTTGATGTTGCTCGTGGGGGGGAACGCCTGTGGGGGCTGGGCAGGATTGGGGGAGATTCAGGGGGTCTCTGATGTGTGGGGCAGTGGGCAGGATGCTTGTCCTGTGGGGTGAGGCAGGGGGTAGGGCAGGGGTACCATTGCTGCGGGGCCAGGCGAAGCAGGGGCGGCTGCTGCCTGACACCATCAGCCCCTGCACACAGGCTAGCGAGCACATGGGGTCATGCTCTACCGTATCTACTCAAGCTTGCTAGCCAGCTGCTTTGCCTCCTTTGTGCTGGGTGGGGCCGCCACTCTGGGCACCAGCAGTAGCCTAATGGACCTGCGTGAGCTGGCGGCGGTGGTGGCAGGTGTGCCCACAGAGAGGGCTCTGAGTGCCGCCTCTGGCACACGTGCCATAGGTTCACTATCACTGGTATAGGGTCTCTTGCTCGAGCAGGGGGTTGGATTAGAAGACCTCCAAGGTTCCTCCCAACTCTTGTTATTCTGCCAATCGAAAAGGCAATTTCATTGGATTCCACTGGGGAAGAGCAGATCTCAGTCTGCTTTCCTCCTCCGTTTTGCAAGACCGAAGAGTCTCTCTTTCCTGTTCCCCACCTGTCCCCCTCTCTAGCAGTCTTGGCTAAATCTGGGACACTTTTCCTTTTCTTCCTCTTCCAGGTTGAGTCTCCAACGCAAATGCACGTCGAGCTAGTCTCCGAATCACCCATGGCCATGTCGCCCCGCCCTCGCTGCATCCGTGTGGGCTGTGACAACCCTCCAGTGGCCAACAGCGACTGGGACAACGAATATTGTAGCAACGAGTGCGTGGTTAAACACTGCAGGTGGGTGACTTAGAGCTTCTGCTGGGGTTCTCCTCAAGAGATACCACGGAAAGGAATTGCCTTGATTTAGCCATGGTGGCACGGTGATTAGAATGCAGTACGGCAGGCTAACTCTGCCAGGAGTTTGATCCCAACTGGATCAAGGCAAGACAAGAAACCATGGATGGAAATTAATCAAGGAGAGAAGCAATCTGGAATGAAGGAGAAACTTCCTAACAGCGAGGACAATTAACCATTGGAACAGCTTGCCTCCAGAGATTGTAGATGTTCAATCACTGGAGGTTTTTAAGAAGAGACTAGTCCAGGAGTAGGCAACCTTGGCTCTTTTATGACTCGTGGACTTCAACTCCCAGAATTCCTGAGCCAGCTATGCTGGCTCAGGAATTCTGGGAGTTGAAGTCCACGAGTCATAAAAGAGCCAAGGTTGCCTACTCCTGGACTAGACAGTCACTTGTCTGAGATGGTATAGGACAATGATGGTGAACCTTTTAGAGACCGAGTGCCCAAGCTGCAACCCAAAACCCACTTATGCATTGTTGAGTGCCGGGTGGGTGTGGCCCATTGGCTGAGTGTGGCTGCAGTGGTAACAGCAGACTGGGTGGGACTAAAAAGTTCAATCAATCAATTCCAACTTTGCAAGATCTTTTTTTTTCCTGTGAGAAGTTGAAATTGACTGATTGAACCCCCCCCCCCCTTTTTTTTTTTTGCACACAGCAGCGGAGACCTAAAGCGAAAAGATTTTATAAAACCCAGCTGAAGGCCTAGGACTGGGGCGACGGCACGCGAGCCCACAGAGAGGGCTCTGAGTGACACTTCTGGCACCCGTGCCATAGGTTCACCACCACTGTCATAGGATCTCCTTGTTGGACTAGAAGACCTCCAAGTTCCCTTCCAGCTCTATTCTGATTGAAAAGATTGAAATTGGTCTTCCACCCTTCCGAGGTCGATAAAATGAGGACCCAGATTGTTGGGGGCCGTCTGCTGACTCTGTAAATCGCTTAAAAAGGGCTGCAAAGCACTATGAAGCGGTATATAAGTCCTAAGTGCTATTGCTGTCGCTCTTTATATCCATTTATAGCCATTTGTTTAGTGACGGTTCAAAGTTAACAATGGCAATGGAAAAAGTGACCTCTGACCCTTTTTCAACCCTCGTAGCATCCCCATGGTCATGTGATCAAAATTGGGCTGCTTGGCAACTGACTGGTACTTATGACAGTTGCAACCTCCTGATATCACAGAATCAGCTTTTGTGACCTGATAAGCAAAGTCAGTGGGGAAGCTAGAATGCAACTGCGTTACTAACCTAACTGCTGAAGATTGCTGAACAAATGGTCATTAAATCGAGGACTACCTATATAATAGATAATGTCTGCTCTCCTGATAGCAGATTAGGTTCCTCAGGATGAAGAGAAGTGGATCCAAGATGGAGCTGCTGATAAATAAAATCCATTTAAATTGTGCAGAGAGAGGATTGACTCCCACCTCACTCTCTTCCCCAGGTCAAGTGATTATGGGGCAGAGTTCCCAGGTGAAATGTACAAGTTACTCCTCAACTTACAATGGTTCATTTAGTGACTGTTCAAAGTTACAACGGCATTGGAAAAAAGTGACTTATGACCGTTTTTCACACCTGTTCTGGATCAGCCAGTTAGATGGTCTGTATGTTAGAATGTTTGGCATTTATAAGGTTACGGGCTGTCTATTAAAGAGATGGCTTATGGGTAATGTAGTTTTAGCTATTCAGTAAATTCCATGTTAACAGGTCAGTAGGAGCAGCTACTGAGTTCATCACACGATATACTGGCTACGTGCCAGCTTGTAAAAGAGGTCTTTATGAAGAAGGACACGAGGTGATGTGTCCCATAAGAGTTATGGGGTGAGTTCACCTTCAGTTTTTCACCCAAAGGAATGGGAAAGGTCATGTTCAGCAGAAGAACTCTTCTTAACTGTAAGTTATTGTTTGGGATTTCTGATGAATAAATTGTCTAATATTCCTTTCTTTGGTGTTTGTCTGAATGAGAAGAACAAGATTAAAGCAGAAATCTTGTTTGGACCATCACAGTGAAAAATTGAAGGTGAACTCACCGCATGGCTCTTATGGGACACATCACCTCGTGTCCTTCTTCATAAAGACCTCTTTTACAAGCTGGCACGTAGCCAGTATATCCTGTGATGAACTCAGTAACTCCTCCTACTGACCTGTTAACATGGAATTTACTGAATAGCTAAAACTACATTACCCATAAGCCATCTCTTAAGGAGACAGTGCTTAACCTTATAAATGCCAAACATTCTAACTTACAGACCCATCTAACTGGCTGATCCAGAACAACGCCCACTGTAGCCTCCCTGAGGTCACGTGACCAAAATTCAGAACACCTGGCAACTGGTTCATATTTATGACGGTTGCGGTGTCCCGGGGTCATGTGACCTCCTTTTGCAACCTTCTGACAAGCAAAGTCAACGGGGGAACCAGATTCGCTTAGCAATTCTGCCACTAACTTAACAACTGCAGTGGTTCACTTAACAATTGGGGCAAGAAATGTCCTAAAAATGGGGCAAAACTCACTCAATATGTGTCTTATTTAGCAACAGAAACTTTGGACTCAACTGTGGTCGTAAGCTGAGGACCACCTGTATTGCTCATTGAAAAAAAAACAAACCAGAAAATGGGAATCCGCTCTGTTTGAATCCCTGTCTTCCAACTGGGCAACGTGCAGATTTGTGAAACTTCAGTTCCCAGAATCCCCCAGCCAAAATGGCTACCACCGAGAATTCTGGAAGGCCGCCCCTCTCAACATGGCTAGAGTTAGGAAAATATGGCTTTAGCTTCTCTCCTCCATGAGTATTTGCTGGGGTCTTCTGGGAGAGGTTTTTTTGTTTTTCAACCTAAGCTACTTTCAGATTTGTGGACTTCAATTTTCAGAATTCTTCAGCCAGCATGCATACACTGGGGAGTTCTGGGAACTGATGTCTTAAAAATTGCTGAGGTCGAGGAACACTGTTCTAGATATGCATTTTGAGCACTGGGATTGGCAAGGTGTAAACATGTGGAATTCAAACGAATCCTCTTATTTTCCCTTACCGTATTTTCCGGTGTATAAGATGACTTTCTAAAGCCTGAAAATCTTCTCAAAAGTCAGGGGTCGTCTTATACACAAGAATATACTGGTAGCTGTTCTCTGAATTTAAAACCAATCTGCCCCCTAGTGGCCAGCCCTATTTTTTTACAGAAATAAGCACTAACAGGACAAAGCTTTCTAGCAGCAAAGGAGCTCCTATTGTGCTCATTTATAAACAGAAATTCAATATTGTACTGTATTTTCTGGCGTATAAGATGACTTTCTAAAGCCTGAAAATCTTCTCAAAAGTTGGGGGTCGTCTTATATGCCCAATCGTCTTATACGCCGGAATATACGGTACTTTTGAAAATGCATTTCTGTGACAGATGCTTTAATCTCGTTTCAGGTTGGTTTTCTGTTTCTGACATGTCTCCCTTTTCTCTCTCTCACACACCCAGGGATGTGTTCCTAGCTTGGCTGGCTTCCCGCAATTCCAACAACAACGTGGTCTTTGTGAAATAACCCTGCTCCTCCCCCAGTGCGTAACAACAGTGCTGGGGAAGGAAACGACAGTTGTTGTGTTCCCGAGCACATTTCGCCCAAAGGACGACAACCAAATCAAGAAGAAGAAAAATCTCGCCGTGCAACTGTGGGGGGTGGGAACCCGGTTCTGGACACCTCAGCTAAAGAGCCACCAGCAAGAGAAAATCCCATCCCTTTTGTGGGGAGGTTGAGGAAACTGTGGAGTGGTACTGTCTCTCCCCTCTATCTCTCTCTCTCTCTTTTTTTCTATACAAAATCTCTTTAATGATGTTTCTCTTGATGGAGCAATTAAAGCTGGAAGAGGAATATCGGCTGAAATCTGCCATGTGCTTCCTGTGGGGGGGTCAGGGAAAAATAAAATAAAGTAAAATCACAGGATGGATTTAGTGAGCAGAATTCCTCTGCTGGAGGTGCTAAGGATGTTTCCACAACGGGTGGCAAGGTGATGGGTCCAGTGGGAGGGTCTGTGCCAGTGGCAAAGACGGACTTGGTTGTGCAGTTGCGAGTGAGCTTGTCCTGTTTGTTCAGCCTGCAACTCCGGTGCTAATACCCTGTTTCCCCCAAAATAAAACCGGATCTTATATTAATTTTTGCTCCAAATGATGCATTAGGGCAGTGATGGCGAACCTTTTAGAGACCGAGCGCCCAAAAACTGGCCCCGCCCCCACTCCACCCCCAGCCCTGCCCCCACTCTGCCCCCCATCCTGCCTGTCCACAAGACCACTTACCACCTCCAGGGCCCGCCGCAGATCACCCAGGCAGCCCAGCAGTGCTATGGTGGCCACACCCTCTTCCTACACCCTGTAGCATCAACTGCATGATGGGGTGTGAGGGCAGAGTCTTGTCTACGTTGCCTGGCTGCCATGTCCTTGGCTGCGCTGCTCCGTGTGGGCCACGCTCGAGGGCAACTCTCCTTCAGGGGGGCTGCTGGAGAGGAGGGGGTCGCAGGGGGAGGCAAGGCTGGGGCAACGGCACGTGTGCCCACAGAGAGGGCTCCAAGTGCTGCCTCTGGCACCCGTGCCATAGGTTCGCCACCACTGCATTAGGGCTTATTTTTCGGTTAGGGCAGTGTTTCTCAACCTTGACAATTTTAAGGCATGTGGACTTCAACTCCCAGAATGCTGGTTGTGGAATACTGGGAGTTGAAGTCCACATGCCTTAAAATTGTCAAGGTTGAGAAACACTGGGTTAGGGCTTATAGTTGGGGAAATACGGTACTAAACGGTCAGTCTGACTGACAATCTTAACGGGCTTAATTTTGGGGTGGGGCTTATATTAAGAGGGTCCTGAAAAATCATGGCAGGGCTTATTTTCTGGTTTGGTTTTATTTTGAAGGAAACGGTATCTGGGTTGGTAAGGCTCCCGTTAACCTTGTTTGAGCAGCTGGGTTCGCACATCACGCCAAGCTAAAGCCCAGCCACCTTACTAATACGACAGGCCTTCCTCAACCTTACGACCACAACAGTCCAAAATGTCGCTAAGTGAGACATTTGTTCAGTGAGTTTTGCCCCATTCTGCGACCTTTCTCGCCACAGTTGTTAAGTGAATCACTGCAGCTGATAAAGTCAGTAACCCAGTTAAGTGAATCTGGCTTCCTCATCGACTTTGCTTGTCAGGTCACAAAAGGGGATCACGTGGCCTTGGGACACAGCAACGGTCATAAGTAAGAATCAGTTGCCAAGCATCTGAATTTTGATCACATGATCGTAGGAATGCTGCAAAGGTAACTGAGAAAGGGTCATAAAGTTGAATTTTTTTAGTGCCGTTGTAACTTTGAACGGTCACTAAAGAGAACTGTTGTAAGTTGAGGACTAACTGTATAAATAGTGGGAAGAAGATAGGAATTTATAGTAATGGTGGATTGGAAAAATCCCTAGTAATAGCTTGGGGCTACATACAAACCTGGCCTGCTGATTACCTCCCAAATCTGGAATTGCTACAGGAGAATTTAATCCCTGATGCTCAAATTGGACAAAAGCTTGAGATGCCTATGGAGATTCTCAATGATCCAGGTCCCATAGGTGCTTTTTCAAAAGGCAACGGGACTTTCTTACTTTTTTTCCTTGAAAACGTTTCACTTCTCGTCCAGGAAGCTTCTTGGATGAGAAGCGAAACATTTTCTAAGAAAAAAAACTTAAGTCCAGTTAACTTTTTTGGGGGGGGAACAACCTTTGGGAAAAGCCTGAGATGCGTTTAGACCAGGGGTAGGCAACCTTGGCTCTTTTATGACTCGTGGACTTCAACTCCCAGAATTCCTCAGCATGGCTGGCTCAGGAATTCTGGGAGTTGAAGTCCACGAGTCATAAAAGAGCCAAGGTTGCCTACCCCTGCCCTATATCAATCAATCATGGCAACTTTATGATCGTGGACTTCAACTCCCAGAATTCCCGAGCCACCTTGGAAATCTCTCCCTTTCCCCTCAGGGCTCAGGAATTCTGGGAGTTGAAGTCCACGAGTTGGTTTAGATCAGTGGTTCTCAACCTGTGGGTCGGGACCCCATTTGGGGTCGAACGACCATTTCACGGGGGTCGCCAAACAACGCAGTCCGCCATTTTTTCCCCTCCTTTTCCTTAGCTGTGCTACTCCCTTTTATTCTATTGGCTTTTGAAAGCCAATAGAAGACTCTCTTGAATAGAGTCTAATTCTATTGGCTTTCAAAAGCCAATAGGAATTGTCCAGGCTGTCTCTGCCCTGCTGAGCCCGCCAAAAGTCCCATTCTGCAAACGGTGCTGCACCAGTTGAGTAGTCTTCGACTTACGACCGGTTGAGTAGTCCTCGACTTATGACCGGTTGGGGGGGGTCGCGGCATTAAAAAGGTTGAGAACCACTGGTTTAGATGTTTAATCTAAGGCCCGCTTCTTCACCTAATGGCCGTTTGAAGATAAGCTTGGTATATTCCTAATCTGTTTCCAGCCCCCAATAGAATTAATGGTCCTGTGGAGGGATTAATTCTGATAGGATTATCGGGGGGGGGGGGAAGGGGAGAGAAACAGGTTGAAAGGATCCTATTTCTTCGCAGTCATCTGGTCATTAGCTCTCTCTGAGAGCCATTGAGGCCACTTGGGGGTTTAGCCTGTGACCTTGGGGTCACCTATACCAGAGTGCAAATGGGGATGGACTCTTCTTGGGACCGCCGCAAGGGCTGTGTGACAAACAGGAGAGAGGTGGTGTCTTACCCACCCCCACCCCCCTGCTAACATGTCAACACAAATTGCCTCTTTGACCCCTCTTTCAAACCGATGGTCCTCTCTATCCAGAATGTGGACTTGGCCACCTTCAAGAGTGACCTTGGTCTTTCAAATGCAAGGTGCCTTTGTGTCCTGCCAGGTGAGGCCTGTTGCTAAATTCCCCTTTCCTCTCTTTAGCAAGCTTGGACCTGAAGAGGGGATTTTATTTATTTATTAAAATTTATAGACCGCCCCACTCCCGCAGGACTCCTGGCGGCTAACAATAAAAACACAACATAACTTAACAAAACAAACAATACAATAACAGTCATCCAGGGGTCAGATTTTATAAACCCCAGGCCTGCTGGAAAAGCCAGGTCTTAAGCAGCTTGCGGAAAACCAACAGGGTGGGAGCGGTCCTAATCTCCAGGGGGGGAGCTGGTTCCAAGACATGGGCGCCATCACAGAGAAAGCCCTCCCCCGCAGCCCCACCAAATGGTACTGCTTGGCCAACGGGACCTGAAGGAGGCCCAGCCTGTGGGATCTAACCGGATGAGGGGAACTATGAGGTAGTAGGCGGTCTCGCAAATAGCCTGCCCTCTGAGCCATATAGAGCTTTATGGGATGGTCACTCCCAATCTCGAAATCCCAAAATCAAGGGTGAAACCTCTTCGTGTTGTGGCCAGCTGAGCTGAGAAATACCGACAGGGGTTACGTCTGCGTTGACCATTAAACCTGGCCCAGCAGCACAGGTAGTCCTCATCTTAACGACCACAATTGGAGCCCAGCATGTACAGTATGTTGTTAAGAGAGAAATTTTGTCAAGGGAGTTTTGTCCCATTTTACGACTTTTCCTGCTGCGTTTGTTAAGCGAAGCGCTGCGGTTGTTAAATTAGGAACACGGTTGTTAAGTGAAACAATGGCTTCACCATTGAACATTCCCTCGTCGTCAGAAGGTTGCAAAAGCTGGTCACGTGACCCAGGACCTTGCAACGGTCATAAATTGTCAAGCACCCGAATGTTAAATCAGGTGATCACGGGGATGCTGCAACGGTCGTAAGTGTGAAAAACAGTCATGTCACTTTTTGTAGTGCTTCGAAATGCAGTCACTAAATGAACTGGTGTAAATCGAGGACTACCTGTGTCATTAGATTAGACTCCCTGCTGTCAGCTGGATATACCTTGGAGCCGCTGTGCATCTGAGGGGGGAATCAGATTGGAGAACTCGGCCACAGAAATAGTGACATGCTATATCAGTGATGGCGAACTTTTTAGAGACCGAGTGCCCAAACTGCAACCCAAAACCCACTTATTTATCGCCGGGTGCCAGGTGGGCGTGGCCCACTGGGTGAGCGTGGCTGTGGTCATGGCAGATTGGGTGGGTGTGGCCAAGGTGGGAGTGATCACCTCGATGTTGCTTGTAGGGAGGGACGCCTGTGGGGGGCCGGGCAGGGTTGGGGAACATCCAGAGGGTCTCTGGCAGGTGGGGCGGTGGGCAGGCGGTTCGTCTTGCGGGGTGAGACAAGGCGAGGCAGGGCGGGGGTCCCATTGTCACAGGGAAAGGTGAGACAGGGGCCGGGGCGGCTGCTGCCCGACACCATCGGCCCGTGCACACAGAGGCCAGCGAGTGCATGGGTACTGGGACGCATCTGGCCATATGGGATCTCAGAGAATTAGCTGGTGGCTGGTTGAAGAGGGACAGTTGCCATCTCTGGGGCACAGAGATGGCAACTGTCAGAGAGGATTCTGAGTGCCGCCTCTGGCACGCGTGCCATAGGTCCGCCACCACTGTGCTATATAGTGCAAATGTAGGTTGCATTTGGGGATCTGGCAGCAAACTGGGCTCACTCAAACGGTTGCAGGAAAGTATTTCCTCCAGCAGGTCTCCTGCTAACCTCTTGTGGTCTTCAGCTATAGAAAAACACCAATTTTATTAAAAGCCTAACGATTAGAATATACATTCCTCTTTGCACTGCTTCCATTTTCACTCCCAAGCAAACGACGGGAGTCCACCACGGTTTCTCTCTTCTTTTGGTCCACTGCAGCCTCTCTTCCGCTATTACATGTTCTTGGGCTTTGAGATAATTCCATCCGGGTACCGTTGCTTGAACTGAGCTACCACATCGGGGTCCAGCAAATGGATCCCATCCA